AAGGGATTAACATGCAGAATACTTAAAGAACTTTTATCTTTATTAAGAAACTTCAACACTGATTGCTTTATAAGGACTCTATATCCTACTTGGAAGATACATGCTCAGTCATGTATGTTGCTGCTGTGGGTACAATAGCAAGGAAATGGATCAGCCTAAATATCCATGGTGACATGGAAATCAAGGAATCAAGGCAAGAGGAACTTGAAGCAGATGTTCACATCACATCCACTATTGGGAAGCAGAGAGAAATGAATGTTTGTTGCTCTCAGACCCTTTCTCCATTTATACAGTCCAGGATTGTTGCCAGGAAGTAATATCACTCACAGTGGGCAGGTCTTCCTTCCCATTTTAGTTAACACAATCAAGCTAATCTTCAACAGGCAACCGGGGAGGCTCATCTCTCAGCTGACTAGTCTAGATTCTGGCATGTTTACAGTGAACACTATCATCACATATATTGCATATATGTAGTGCATTTTCATTATCCATTCATTTATTGATGAGTATCTAGACTGAATTCATTTTCTTGTATTGTAAATAGAGCAGCAATATACATGGATGAGCAAGTATCTCCACAGGAGGATATAGAGTCTTTTGGGTATATGCCAAGGAGTGGTACATCTGGGACATATGAAAGCTCTATTATTCTTATCTAATATTAATTTCATTGATTTATTTTTAATTTATATGTGTATTTCTGTGTGTATATTTGCATTCAAATAAATGTTCCAGGCAAGATCAGAAGAGGGCTTTAGATCCCTTGGAGCAGGCAGTTATGTGCAAGCTGATGTGGGTGCTATGAACCATACTTAGGTCCTCTGGAAGAGCATAAAGTGCTCTTTTCCACCAAGTTATCTCTCCAGCTCCAGGAAGTTCTATTTTTAGGAGCCATTGTGAAGGCCAGATTACATCTTTGCAGTGGAAGTTGCTAGTGTCATCCCAGTGGTACTGGTTTTTCAGGCATGGAAGGTACAAGATTGAGGAAGTCATGGAGCCTTATTCCATGTTTGCAGAGAGCAGATGACACAAGGAAGTGTGTGGCAAGGTTGGAGTTCCTGCAAATAGGCTGTACAAGACTACTGTCTGAGGCTGTGACAGTGAGGCCTAGGTTACAGTGGTGACTCCAGAGTACTGGAGATGCCAGGACCATTGGATATGCTCCAAGGGGTGCTGCATGCATAGGATGGAGCCAGTCCAGACAAAATCTATGTGTGTTGCAGGCAGCAGAACTGAAGGTGTAGGAGTGCCCACGTCTCTTGGAACCCAATTTATTTCATTACAAGTATGAGATGAGAGACCTGGAGCTGCAGGATTTAGTGTTTTCCCTACAGGAGTTTCATATTGTTTTAGTCTGATCCTTTCTTGCAATTCCCTGATTCTTCCCTTTTGGAACAAGAATAATTAGTCTGTGTCATTACATGTTGGAGGTATGTAACTTGTTTTTTTATTTTATGAGTTCAGGATTAAGAGACTTTGGGCTTTACAGTGTTGGAATTGTTAAAGACTATGGGGACTTTTACATTGGACTGAATGTGTTTTATATTATAGCATTGATCATGATCCTATGGGGACAAGGGATAGAAGATTATGGCTTAAAAGTGATGTGTTTCTGCGTCAGGTTGACAAGGGGTGCAGGTGTGATGGTTAGTATTGTCAACTTGACAGAAAGTAGAATTACCTGGGAGATGGGCCTCTAGGAATGCCTATGGAAATTCTCCTGATTGCATTAACTGAAGTGGGAGGGCTCATCTTAGTTGTGGGCAGGACCATTTCATCTCTGGGATCCTGCACTGTATCAGTGGAGAAAAGGCTCGGAGTAGCAGGAAGCATTTTTCCTTCTCTGATTCCTAATTGTGGATATCATGTAATGAGATTCTTCAAGGTCCTGCTGCCTCCATTTGTCCACCATGATAGACTATACTGCACAATAGGTTAAAATCCACCTTCTCTTCCTTAAGTTGCTTTGGACAGAGTATTATTTCACAGCAACAAAAAATAAGAAACTAAAGCAATGCAATTGTATTCAGCCATAAAAAAGAAACTATCCAATTTATAAGACAATCAGTAGATGGAACTGGAAAATAACGTATTAAGTGAAGTAACACAGGCTTAGAAACACAAACATTACATGTTAACTCGCATATGCGAATATTAACTTCTGTGATATGTGTGTGTGTGTGTCTACACATGAGTAAGGGTTGATATTTAGAAAGTAGAAAGGAGCCCATTAAGGGGGGGACTGCTTTCAGTAGAAAATTATCCTATAATTATATCTCAGTAAATATTATCTATGCTATATGTAAAATCTAGCAGCTGATCAAATCCTCACAAAAACTTATATATGAGTATTTATAGTAGCATTATCACAGGAGGTGAAAGATGAAAGGACCCCCAAATGCCATTAACAAGTGAACAGATAAGGAAACATGTTATACATATGCAGTGAAGTTTATTCATCTATAAAAAGTAAGGAAATATTATGCATGCCAAAATGTGGATGAACCTTGGAAATATTACACAAATCAAGAGAATCCAGACCCAAAAGGTTATGTGTTTAATATTTTTATATGAAATACAAAGACCATGTCAAACCATAGAAACAGAAATCAGATTAGTTATCACTAGGACCTGAGAAGAGAGAACTGAGAAAATTGTTTTAGAACTAAGTAGAAGTGAGGGATTCACAGTATTTTGAATGCAGTATATGCCACTGAATTCCACACTTTATAATGATTGTTATGTGAATTTTCATTTAAATGTACAATAACCACAGCCAGTTTAAGAACTAATACATAAACATATGTATATTATCTAAAACAGTGGACTTCATCTACTATATATCATATACATCTTTGAACATTTAAATTTCTATTTATTTTTATTTATTGTGTATATGCGTGTATGATGTGTGCACAAATGTGGGCATGGTCATGCCAAGGCACACGTGTGGAGGTCAGAGGACAACTTTAGGGAGTCAGTTCTGTCCTTCCACTTAGTTGAGGTAGGTCTTCTCTTATTGTTTCTGCCACACTGTACACTCTAAGCTAGTGGCCCCTAAGCTTCTGGGCCATTCTAGCTCCATGTCTCGTCTCACCATAGGAGCACCACCACATCTGGCTCTCTATGTGGGTTCTGGGAATGAATTCAGGTCAAACTCAGGTTATCAGGTTTGTGCAGCAGGTGGTTTACCCACTGAGGGATCTCTATGACCCATGCCTTTGAACATTTAATAAGGACAATAGTCTATTTTGAGCAAATGTGCACATCAAATAAAATCCATGTAGTTTATGCCTCACATGTACTTAATTTTGAACATGAGTTTAAGGGATTACTAGTTTTTAAATGCCTGAAGACAATGAACAAGTGAACTTTTTTGGTTTCTCCTCCTTCTTACTACATTTGCACATGGTATCTTCTACATCTTTTTATTTTTCTCTATCTCATAATTTCTGCTTCCTCCTTATGTCAATCTGCTTATGTACCAGCATTTCTTAGAGTCCTGTGGTACAGATCTTGCTACAAAAGTGTAGATATCTCACTATTTCCTACACAAAAGCAATTTTTTATACTGTTTTGGATGTCCAGTTCAGAACATGTGGCCTAAGTCAATCAGTATGGTCAGCATGTCATAATTTCTTGGACACTAGGTGGGAAGGCACCAGGATATAATCATGGACTATGGGCAGAAACCCTGAAACATGGGTAGGTTTCTTTTAGATTCCTGGGAAAGGAAGATACCAGAATTGAGAGACCTAGCAAGATACACCTTCCAAGTAAGATTGGAGGCAGCAGACCTCCAGGGAAGCTTCTAACACAGGTGTTGTGAATAAAGGCACAAAGCAGGCAGGTCTGAAGGCTCTTCCTGAGCCAATTACTTCTCTGAGCTTCATGGAAGCTGTCAGCTACAGGAAGATGGAAGAGATCTGCTCTGGTTTCCATGACAGAAGCATTTCTTCCTCTCCCCTCTACTGCAGCTGAGTTATCCTGGAGGGAATTTGGAGAATAGAGGGAAGGAGTCAAAAGAATTTATTAAGTTTGCTGCCTTGGTCACCTACTCCTGTAGGCTTTTGGAGTGATCAACAGAGTCAGGTGCCTGAATTCTGGAAGAGAGAAGACACTCTGAAATATGGGCAGGAGTAGGGAAGTAGTGCTTTCCTTTCCTCTTATCAGGGGAGGGAGCACAAATTCTCTGTAAGCCCCATGACCTGAACTCTCTGGGTCCCATAGATTTTTCTTTTCCCCAAATCTCAGCCTATGAGTGAAATAGTCACAGTCAAAATTTCAAAATTGACATTGTCATAGGTCCTGACAAATCTATCTAGTGTTCAGCAATTACATGGGAACATTAGATAAATGTATGTTTTATAAAACATGACAGCACCAGCTATTCCGGAAAAAAATTAAATATATTTTGTATGTACCCAACTAAATTCGATTACAAACTTGATCAGTCTTCTGAGTAAAAAATGTTGGAGCCCTGTTTTTCACTGTGTTTTGAGCACCTTATCTTAAATGAAATATTTTAATTTTTATTTATAAGTGTAATTCATGCTCATCGGAGTAAATGAAATAAAACAGAAAAATTAGAAGGAAAATAAAATCTGTTTCCATTCCTTCCTTTCTTTCTTAATCCACCCTATATGCTCTTTATGTGCAGGTGTAGAGTGGTCCATGGGCAGGGTGAACATCGAATGCTGAGTGGAAAAGTAAATTGAAAGAGTAGATGGCTTGGGATAAACGGAGAAAATGACAAAAAAAATCCTCTGTGATATTAATAGGCAATCGTCACAGGAGAAGACACAGCCTTTCTCTAATAACCACACAAGACTAAACACATACCACAGCACGGACCACATTTGACCTCTGGGATTTGCAAAGACCAAAATGAATGACAAGGCCTCATGCTGTGGGGGAAGGGACAGAAGGTGGTGGGGGTAGTGAGGGAAAAAGTGGGCTGGCTACTGACGCACTTTCTTCTGGTAGGAGAGGAACTAGGGACCCGAGCCCACTGGTGACGTTTTGTCACGTGATCGGGAGCCAACGTATGCAGAAGTCCCTCTTCTCCAGGTACCAGCTCCTTATCTCCGTGGAGGAAGGCAGACTTGAGACTGAGGGACAGACGGGGAGCAACTGCCCTATAGCCCTGCAGGTTGGTACAAGCCAAACTGGGGATCCCTGAGGGAAGGGTGGTTACTGCCAGAGGCTGTGGAGCAAAGAACTGCGACTGCTTTTCACATTCCACTCCCCTTTCACCCCCATTCATTTTGACGCAGAAAATTGTGTGTTTAGGGATCGAGCTGGGTAGCAGCTCTTCTTTCCCTGGAGAAATGTGGGCTTCTAGCAGAAGGAAATGTAAGAAGGAGTCACCTCCCAGAGGCAGTTAAAAATCCTTCCCAGTCTGCAGATGGCTGGGTAGAGAAACCCAGAGCGCAGAGCCGGGTTCTCTCCCTTCCTTTCCAGATGCGCACCCGATTGATGAAAAAAAAAGGATGTGGGCAGGGGGTTGAGAGAGATGTGGGGTAGAGATTAGGTGCTAATTGGTATCTTCTTGGAAGCCAGCGGTTGAACTACGTATGACTGATGGAAGCGGAGGGGCGGCGGAGGTGGGAGGGGGAGGATAGCCTTGGTGAGGGATGCCTTAACTCCTTCAGGGTGGCCAGAGACTGGTGCAGGCGATAACTGCACCCAGGAGAGGAAGGCAGACTACCCCAGGCCTAGGCGTGAGTTCTCCCTGTCTTGTCTCCATCCTCCAACCATCTTGAAGCCTAAAATGGTAGACTGAGGGGGCGGGGGGGGTATCGCTGCAAAGGAGAGAAACAGGTTTAGTATGACGCTCAGCCCCCTGTTGAGGAGAAGTGGTCTCCTAACTAGGAAGAGTTCAAAGGAGTTATCATGGGCCAAAAATAAATAAATAAAAAGTTAGAGTTCAGAAATAATGTATCTCTTTCATTTTAGGAAAATACAGTTTTTCTGTGTGGGGGAGGAAGGGGTGACTGGAATGCTGTGGTCATTTCTGCCCTGCCCCCTTCTGCATCTACCATCTCCGTTTTCAGAAAAGTAGTGTGCTATGTGTTATCTAGGTGTCCAGGTGGGGGTGGGGACAGAAACCTAAGTGCAGCAAGATCTGCCTTCTGAACTTCACGGTCCTGAGCTCTGCTCATTTTAGTGAAGTGAGAATTTGGGAAGGGAATTCGAAAACAGAAATATTTTGGAAATCAATTTTCTTTCCCATGGCTCAATACAAGAGAAAGGGAAGGTGTTATGGAAGAATGGTAGAAGGGAAGCAGAGAGCATAAGAGAAAGGGCAATGGGGGGTATGAGAAAGTTTTAACAAATATTCCGCGTCCTGGTTGCCAGTCATTCGGTTCCCTAATCCTTCATTTACCATGTTTCCTCTTTCTTTCTACAGGTCATCAGGTGTTTGGTTGTAGGGATCAGCGTAGCCAAGGAGAGAAAAGACCTGCAGTACCAGTGCAGGTCAGTGGGAGAAGGGACATACCCCCACTGCCCCTGCAAGTAGGAGTGACTTAAGCCAGAGCAAAAGTTGGGGAGGCTGCTGCTTGCTATGTGTCCTTCAACGCTCCTTCCTTATTGTAATTTCAACACATCACTGCTGTCAGGACCCTAAGGAAATGTGGTTCATTATAGCACTTGAGGTTAAAGGGGAAAGGGTAGCATCTGTGATGCCTTTGAGGCTACCAAAGTAAGCCTTAAATCAGTTAAGTATTTCTCCTGTGTATACTTTTACAAGTCTTATAAATGAACGTATGGGGGGGGAAAGAGGATAAGAGGGGAGGTGTGGATAGGAGAGGGGATCTAAATAGCATCAAATTACATTGTATGAAAATCATGAAAAGTCAATTAACAAGTAAAATTAACAACAACAACAAAAAGAGACAAAACTGCCTAGGATTCCTGCAGTTCTTTTTAAATTGGAATTAGCCGGTTAGTACTCCTGGGGGAATCCTCATGGCCTGAACAGAGTTTAAAGCCCATTATTTCCCACATTTCTTAGCACTTAACTGTAGGGAGAAACACCTGTGAATGCTTCTGTACTGTTGCTTTGTGGGAACATGCACGAAGTGTATGTGGGAAGGGAATGTAAGGGTAAGAATCCATCTGGAAGGTGGATCAGGGTCCAGAGAGCCAGGAGTCAAGGAAAGCAACTATCCAAAATATGTCATTCTGTGGGTCCTGAGTATTCTGTTTCCTTTTTCTCGTAGGAGAGGCAAAAAAGGACAATTTCAACATGGAAAAGTTCTACAAAGAAAATGAAGGAAAGCCAGAAAGCAAGGGAAAGGCAGAAGATAAAGGAAGTACAGAAGAGGAAGGAAATGCAGATGAAGACAAGTCAGACGCAGAGGGGAAGCCAGCTCCTCGTGAAGGGAAGCTAGAGGATGAGGGAAAGCCAGGTGAGCAGGGACAATCGAAAGGTGAGGGAAAAACAGAAAAGCAGGGAAAGTCTGAAGGTGAGGGCAAGCGCCAAGGGGAGGGCAAGCCCGATTCCCAGGCAAAGCCAGCCAGCGAACCCCGGGCCGCAGAAAAGCGTCCTGCTGAAGATTACGTGCCCCGGAAAGCAAAACGGAAAACAGACAGGGGGACAGACGATTCCCCCAAGGACTCTCAGGAGGACAGGCATGTAAGCAGTGAGGAGATGATGAGAGAGTGTGCAGATATGTCAAGGGCTCAGGAAGAGCTGAGGAAAAGGCAGAAAATGGGTGGTTTTCCCTGGATGCAGAGAGATGCACAGGATGCGTTCGCCCCCAGGGGCCAGCGTGGAGTCAGGGGAGCGCGGGGTGGAGGCAGGGGCCAGAAAGACTTAGAAGACGGTCCCTATGCTTAATGTCTTTGGCCTTTGATTCTGATTTCTCTGATGGGAAATATTGCCATCCCTGCTTTCCCTGGCAGGCATTTGCCGGGCTATGTGCTTTAACCTTATGCTGATACTTTCCTTTAGGTGTCACTCTTGTTACCAGCAGACAGTGCTCTTTTAGTACAGGACTTTCACCCATGTGCATGGAAAAGATGTTCATGGTATATTGTAAAATAATAAAGATAACAGTTTGCAGAACCACACATATAGTATCAAACCATTTTTTTGGAAAAAAAAGTATAGTCACACAGTGCACACACACAAGAAAACTACTACTGAGTAGACCAAGAAGTAATAACCGTTTACTCTGTATGGTGGGATTTGAAATGTTTCATTTTCTCATACAGACTATTTGCCATTTAAGAACAGAGGTTACTTTTGTTACAAAAGAAACGATGAAACATAAAAGGACAGTCATGGTGGCACACCCCTTTAAGCAGGTCAATCTCTGTGAGTTTGAGGCCAGCCTAGTCTACACAGTGACTTCCAGGCCAGGTAGGACTACATAGTGAGACTATCTCAAAAAAGAAAGAAAAAGAAAATATAATAAAAAAACAAGACATTGGTCTGAAGAGATGACTCAGCAGTTAAAAACATGACCTCCAAGAGGACCTGGGTTTGGGTCTCAGGGCCACATGGTAGCTAACTCCAGATCCAGGGTATCTGACATCCTCTTCTGGCCTCCACTGGCACTGATGCATGCATGCCTGTGCTACACTGATATACATGCAGGCAAAACACTCATGCATATAAAATAAGAATAGGCCTGGCCTGGTGACCCACACCTTTAATGTCAGCACTTGGGAGGCAAACGCATGTGGATCACTGTGAGATCGAGGCTAGCCAGGTCTACATAGAGGGTTCCAGGTCACCTGAGGCTATAGGGAGATCCTGCCTCAAAAAAGATTTTTAAAAATCTTAAAAAATCAAAAATTTTAAAAGAAACCAATACATACCAGGCAATCAAAATAACTAATTTGTTGAGCATGTAAAGGCAGAGAAGACACTTAAAAATCTTGTTAGAATGAAAAATGACAGGTAAAACTACATGACATCTGGAACTTCAAGTTAGAAGAATCTTTGCGGTTCCTACCAATAACATTGCTTCCTTGTCGTTTGTGAAGGGGGGATAATGTTTCTGTCACAGAACTGTGGAGTAAATCAAATATGGCACTGAGTGCTGCTGCTACCCTCTCCCTTGTAGTACTGCATCTGTGTCCAAGAACAGGTTCAGGAAGCTTAGATGTGGGTGGCACCCTACCCTGGGAAATGTTATTTCTGCTTGGCATTGTGCCTTCCCCCTTGTGGCTCCTGAATCCTCTTGAGGCCCCCACAGCCACTAGTAGGCTAAAGTCTTCAAGGAAGCAAAGGTCCTTTTAAAGTCCCTATTAAGTTGTTACTTTCTGAAGCGTTTATTTATAATGAGACTTTTCTTATTTAATAATTGTCAATCCTGAAGAGAGATGTGGAAAAAATATCTTCTAAAATTTTACCTCAAGTTTGACAGATATCAAAATTATCCCCACTAGGCTTGCTCTTATTATTTACTTATTTGTTTATTTGTTTTGTGACAGGGTCTCATCTAAGCCTAGGCTAGCCTTGAACTTGGCAATGTAGCTGAGAAATGACATTTCACTCCTGATCCTCCTGACTTTACCTCCTTAGTGTTGAGATACAGCCACGCAGCACCATACCAGGTTTATGAAGAGCTGATGATCAAATTCAGGGCTTCATCCATTCTAAGTAAGCACTCAACTAAATGAGCTGCTTCCTGAGCTTTAGACTTGTCCTTTACAAAGTAATTAGCTTGTCTTACTTATTTTTGCTACCTGCTACATTTAATAGAAACATTAATCATTGAGAAGACTTCAGTTCTTTGGCCGTTTCTTCTCCTAATTGAATTCACACCCTTAAATATGCAGGATCATTATTTTTTGTTTTGTTTTGTTGAGGGAAGGTCTCATGTAATGCTGGCTGGCCCAAATCTCACTGTGCAGCTGTGGCTGGTCATAAATTCCTGGTCCTTTGCCCTCTACCTTCCAAGTGCTGATATAACAGACATGAGCTAGAGATACTGTACTTGTCCCATATAACTCTGTATGCAACTGAAGTTTGCCATTTTAAAAAATAACATGGAGGTGGAAAGATTGCTAAGTGGTTAGGAGCACTGGTTGCTCTTGTAGAGGACCCAGGTTCAGTTCCCAGCACCCAGAGACTAACAACTGTCCAGAACTCTAGTTCCAGGGAAATCCAGTGCCCTCCCCTGACCTCCGTGGGCATTGTGTGACATGGGTACACTTACATATGCATACACATAAAATAAAAATAACAAATGAAATGTTTTTAAATGACATGAGAGAGATTGTTGTATAATTCTCCATGAGATGATTTTAACATTGGATGTAACAGTAGCTTTCAAAGTTTGATAGCGAGTAGTACAACATCTTCATGGAAATCCTAATTGATATTATAGAAAATGTGGAATCCTGCCACAACAGATGCAAGTCATCAGAATCTCTTCTGATTTGTTTCCATAATATAGGTTTTTATATTTCTTCCACTTTTAGCTCATTTTTGTTTTTTAATCATTAAAGTTATTTAAGTGTGTGTGTGTGTGTGTGTGTGTGTGTGTGTGTCTGTGTGTCTGTGTGTCTGTG